TGAATCATAACGAAAGATTTTGTTGGTATTTTATTTATTAAATTATTTTACTTTTTGTTCTCTTTTCAAATAAATCATTCCTATTAATTAATGTAATTAATATTGACTTAAAATAATAATAATAATTTGATTTGTTTTGATATAATTTTAAGATTATCACTACAACAAATTCGGGTTTATAACATTTAATTTATAGGACTAAAAAGTAAAGTATCATATCTAAAGACGTTATAATAAGTTCATAGAATATTTATGAGTGTTTTAGCAAGTTCTTTAACATACTTTTAATGCTTTAGTTATTTATTTATTTTTTTGTAAGGGTGTCCGGGCCAAAACCCGACTAATCCCCAGCAAATTTGGAGGCTAAACATGGCCCCACTTAAATGTCGCCAACATTCCATTCCCAGGGTTTGAACTCGGGTTCATGACTATGCCATGCCCAAGCCTTTACCACTAGGCTGGAAGGTTTTTGACTGCTTTAGTTATTTTATAGGATGTTTTTGAGAAAATGTCTAATAAACTTCTCTTTTTATAGGACACTTGTTTTTATAAGACACATTTTCAGATATGTTTTACAAAATAAGTAATACAACGTTCTTTTAAATAAAAAGAAAGTTCTAAATAACTTGTTACAATGTGTATAAATATTCTATGAACTTATTACGTTTTTAAGTATGACGTTTTATTTTCTTGTCTTACAAATCAGTCTACAAAGATGCTTATAAACTTTTAAGGGTTGTTCAGTCGGTTTTTCATTAAGTCTTACATGGGCTAAGATGTCTGTTGGATTTAGTTGTCTGTATGATTTAGGCTAAATTGTTGTTAGGTTATGATACTGAATAACTAGTCTGAATGACAAAAATGATTATTTTACCCCTCAGTTTTTATTAAACACCAATTAAAAAAATTCATATAAACAAAGAAAAATATCAAAAACATGAAAATTTTCATGTTCCTCCTAATCTCAAAACCGAGGTATGAACCTCAGTATTGCACCTCCTGAATTCAATTTTTTAAACCCAGTTCATCTTCTTGATTCGTTTTTAGCCCCTCATTGGCTTCATGACATTCTCAAGAAATGAAAAAAACCCATTAAGGCAAAGAATTTCAAGAAGGTAAGATAGGAACCAAATGAAGTTTAAATCAAGAATTTCATATTAGGTCACAAATCCCAGTTCATCTTCTCGATCAATCACAAATCCATTAACCCGTTAAACCCAGTTCATCTTCTTGATTTTGTCACAAATCCATTTTACGTTAGACATAAAACATAGGAAACCCAATCACAAGGGTGCTGTCTGATTGGTTTGAGCTTGGCTCCAAATGTCAAAAGTACCAAGAGGTCCCAAGTTCAAATCCAAGGAGAAATAAAAAATCTTTTGTGGTTACGGAGGTTCAAATGCGGTGGCTCCGGACTATCTGCAAAGCAGGTGGTCGCCCTGGGATTAGTCGGCTTGCATAGCGGGTTAGATATCTAGGTTAATAAAAAAAAACATAGAAAACCGAAATTTACAAAGAATAGAGATTTAAAGGGTTAATCCGAGCTTTAGGTTTACAAAATAAAGAACAGAGGAGCGATAAGGACACAAGCAAAAGCGATGATTAACGTTGGGGGAGAGGAGTGCAGGTTTCGATGCAAGAAGACAATGAAAAAGGGTGTGTTGGTCTCGTTGGTCGAAGATGATCGGTGAGGTCTACAGTGATGATATGGAAATGATTGGTGACGAGGAGGGAGATGATCAGTGACGAGGAGGGAGGCTTGGAGATGACAGGGACGATTGGAATGTTTGAGGCACTACTACAATGTTTAATAAGGGCGAGGACACATCTATTTTTGCTGACCGATCAAGTCATTGGTTGGGCGTATAAGCCATAGCCAAATAAACCATATAGATTATACAGTCCATCCATTAAGCCACTATCAAATAACCCCTTAGTATCTTATAAACCTAATTTTATAGTAACATGTGAATACATTATATAAAAATTCTTATAATTTAGTTATTTTATTTTATATTTTTTTGTTATTGAAAATAAATTAATTAAATATGTATAAAAAAGGCAGTTATAGATTGGGTATGGTTCAAGATAAGAAGACAATGAACCTAACCAAACTTTTAATCCTCGACCTTCTGAAAAAGAAAAGCAAGAAAGCAATAAATTTATATTTTTCAGATTAAAAATGATTATATGTATATTATATTGTGCAATTAAATTATTATAATTTAATATGATATTTTTTAATTAAAAATTTTCATTTTAATTTTATTGTGTTTTAGAAAATAAACTATATTTAAATCAAGTGATAATAATTATTAAATATAAAATTTAATTATATGATATAATTACTATGTTTTAATAAAATCATATAATAATAAAAAAATGTTAATTTTTAATAAATATAATATTCAATAACCTATCACTTATTTTTAGTGATTTTGATATTTTATTTTTAATGGTTGAATCAAAAATAATTTTAACTATTAAGTGTTTAATAAATCAGTTATTATTATATTAATTATTTTGTCTCATATCAATTGTATTGTTAGATTGTTTTAAAATCGAATATATTGTGTTCCATTTATTATTATTATTTTATAAATTTTTTTAAAATAATAATTAAGGTTTTATGCAAAATTAATAAAAAAATAATTACTTCTTTATATAACTTGATTTGTGTGGGTTAAACTTTGTACATGTTTAACGCATATTTTGCTAGAAAATATAAATAATTTATTTAGTTTTAAATTTTTTTTTTAAAAGTAAATAAATAAAAGATTAAATTATAAAATATAAATTATTTATTATTTATTAATTTTTTTCTGCTAAATAAATAAAAGATTAAATTATTAAAAATTGAAATAAATTAGAAGGAAACGTGACGAGTCCGTTTGATATCGACCCCAAGATCACGCAATTTACCAGATTTTTTTGTTGATTTTTTTTTGACGATAATAATATTTTTTATTTTGGATAAATAAATTTACTAAAATTAAAAAAAAGAAAAAATAAAAATAAAAACGTATTAAGGGTCTTTGGTGTTTCGATACCAACCAGCCACGTGTCGAGTCCCTGTTGGATAGAAATGACGTTAAAACGTAAGCAGTAAGAGGTGTCAGTGGGAGTTGCTCTCTATTATCGTTATCCACTTATCCACAACCGGCTGGGCCCTACTTTGGGATTGTCAGTTGATGACATGGCAAGTGGGTCATGCTGACATGGCAGCCTAAAAACTAGGATAAGAGTTTTGTGTTGCCCGAGAAATGGATAATTTGATACGTAACATTCACTCCATTCTTTTTTCTATTTTTT